GGACGCGGTTCCGTGGGGCCGGGCAGGAGGGGAGCAGAGAGAAGCTCGGCAGCAAAGCTTCCTCCTCAGCCTGCGCTGCAGGAAATGAGGCAGCAGAGGCGGTGCGAGGAGGGGAAGCCGGAGGCCCGCGGCGCGCACCGCCCCGGAGCCAAAACCCGCCAGAGCCACGGCTCCGGCCGGGCCCCGCAGCGCCGGGAAGGGGCTGTCAGCGCGCTCTGAGGGGGACTTGGTTGCTTTGCCCCCCGCTCCCTCCGCCTTTGCTGTGGCTGGCACTGCAGGTAAGCCCTCCTCAGCCCCTTCGTGCCACCCTTTTCCTTTCCAGCCACGCTGGCATCTTGCTTCCTCGGTGGCAGAGGCCAGCTCCTGTCCCCCACGAGGGGCAGCGCTGGAGGAGGGCGCGGGTGAGCATCCTCCGCCTAAAGCCAGTTTTCTCTCGGGCACATTTGCGGCACTCCTGGGCATCACTTGCTCAGACCCGATGTGCACAGCGCAGCCGGCTGCACCTTACTGGGTGGTGTAAGGAAGCACAGAACGGGTCCAAACATCTCACATGTGGAGGGATGCAATATTCTGAGTGCTCCTGCTAACTATCAAGCCGTAACCTTTAGTGTGACCCAGCAGGATCAGTTTGTTCCCTGAGAAATGATTCATGACCTGAGTCACGGGAGAAGAAATGGGGATATTTGGAAGGTGAGTCAACGTAATCTAACTGTAGGGCTGGGGTTTGGCCTTTCCGCAGGTGTGACTCGTCCCAAGGATGTGCCAGTGTGGGGGTGAGTTCAGCAACTAAAGCTTTCCTGACATTTGCAGGGTTCGGTTCCGCCAGATCAGGTCCCGTCGTGATGTGATTAGCTCTGTGTGGGCATAAAGACTTTCCCCATCATGAGGTTAACCAACATCATAACTATTAAAACACAGATATATTCAGGGCTTTTGGCCTCGTGTTTTTCAGCTCTGAAGAGCTGATTATTTTTTTTTCAACTCTTCCCAGTGACTGCAGTGACGACACCGAAGTCTCAGCGTTCACTAGTTATCTGGAGCTGGGAGTAAGGTTTTAGTAATGCTGAGTATCATGAGGTGTTGGTAGAGGTCGTAAGGCTGGCAATTTTTGGAAACTTGGCTTTGAAAAACCAATTTAATAGCTCTTAGGTGACATCTTATTTCCCAGCTTTTCATTATTCCCATTCGAAAGATCACATGCGATCCTCCCTGACCTCCGCATATGGATTCTGGAGAGCCCTTTTCCTCTAGACATGCAGGATTTTCTAAACTGTTGAACCTCTCTCCCCGTTCTCTTTTTTTCAAAGCAGAGCCAGATCTTTACTTCAAAAATAAGCACCATATCAACAGTACGACCATTTAACCATCTATTTAAACAGACAGGAAGAACAACCCACTGATAAAAAAAATCAGACTTTCTGAATTAGAAGCAAAAAACTACAAAACTGAACTCTTGTGCCAATCTGTTACCACACCCCAGGTTTAGGGAAGTGCAGTTGCCTCCAAGTGTTCAATCCTTAGTTTGGTTTCCATGAAGGGGTATCCTTGCACTCACACATCTGCTAACTAACCGAGCTGTTCCTACAAAATGACATCAGTTGTTCTTATTCTACCAGAATACTTGGCTGCTTATATTTTGTGAGGATGGGGTTAATCTCTGATACACTAATTTATATAGCCAGATGATATGCCTACACACAAGCATTCACTGATGTTAAGCATTTCACACCATGAGGCCCTTTTTGGAAAATATTTTCATTCAAGGACTCCATGAATAAGTCCTGTTCCATAGAGTTAAGGGAAAGGTTGGTATGTACTTGGACACAAGCAGCAAAAACCCACATCCTGAAATTCAGCTGAATGTAGCTAATAAATTGGAGTAATAGATTTTAGAAGCAATAAAACATGTTTTGAAACACTCAAGATGCCCCAGGAACAGTCTGTATATATAATAAAGGAAATATAAACAATGAAAAGTAAATTCAGCAGTACGTTTTTCCATATGGCTTGAATTATCATCTAATATGAAATCTGTTAACAGCTAATTCCAGACCTGATGCTACTTGCCTGAAAAATTCCTGATTATTTTTACACGTAGTTAGTTACTTAGGTGAGTACGTCCTTTGGAGATACTGTGCTGAAGTTTTGCTGCTCTAAAAGCACCACCACTCATTGTTCTATAGAGGTAACATATATCCATAGTAGGAGTATGAGTTTTTTATTCTGGAGGAAAAAAAAAGAGGAGCTTACTTGTGTTAATTAATGAATTTGGCAGCATTTTCTAATGTGATTGCACACATTGTATTTAAGCTGATTTTAACTGTTGTGCTGTGCTTAAGATGTTATCAATGTATAAACCACTTATACCCGTGTGCAAACTGTACAAACACCAGCCTTAAGAAGGCTTAAAATCTGGGCTCTTTCGAAGTAGAACACTCATATTCTTCAAGAAGGGCGAGAGACCACCCACTGACCAGGTGTCCCTTTGAAGTTGCCAGCTGTCTCTTTGTCTAATTCAGATTCAGTTCATGAAGGACAATTTTCACCCCTTAAAACAATTTTTCTCTCATCTAATAATGAAACTAACTACTTGGTACTGGAGATAAATATTTATTGCAAAATACTTATATTTGGTTTGTCTGCTTTGAAAATCATTAGATTTTTCCAAGCATTTCTGTGCTTAAATGAGATGCATCTATATGTGGGAAACTTTTATATGTGCTAATGCTAGCCTATGTATTTTATAACACACGCACACATAAGAATAAAAATTGTTTATTAAAATAGTTATGAGGTCATATAGCTCACTTCATTATAAATATTAGTTATCTTACAGATAAAATATCGAGCATGTTTGTGTAGGGGTGGACTTTTTTTTTAATTTTTATTTTTTAACACGAGCAAGGTATTTTCCTCCCATTTTTGACCATCTGTTTTTCATTCATCCACATGATCTTGAAAGTATTCATCCACAAGAGCAGATTTATCTTCTTCACATTCCTGCCAAAAAGAAAACAAAAAAGGTAAAACCTGACTTTTCCCTAGTGGCTACTGTACATTGTCTGTTCTGTGACATTTTATTTTAGAAACCACAACAGGAACAATGTCTAATATGGTTCCATAAAACATGTAGCAAAGCTTTCTAAAAAAAAAGCAATTTGTTTCTAAGGCTATCAAAATTGTATAGGTCAAAATCTAGATCCAGGTATCCTGTATACTTCAAAGAGGACAAAAGGGAATTAAAAAATGGAATTTAAAGCACTGGACTTGTTCCTTAGGATTTATGAGCTGAATAATAAAACTAGACAGGGCTTGGAACAGATTTTAACACAGCTGTCTTCTATCATGTACTTTACATGATATAATTTATTCCTAGTCTATATCTCATATGCAAATCATGGGTTCAACACAGGAATTACTGAGGAATTTGGGCAGTCAAGTAGGAAGAAATCTTAGTGATCTTAATAGTCCTTTCTGACCTTTGCGGTTTAAAATGCCACTATTTTTGAAAACAAAAGCATTAAATACAACCACTTGATCAGTCTGCAAATGCAAGATGATATTAAAGAATTTCACTTTTAAATCGAAGACGATATAAGCATTGTCACTAAAAGACTAAACATGGCTTATTTAGAACCATACTAAGGAAATAATTTATTAGTGAGGCAAAGAACATATTTATATTACAATTTATACTATGGAACCCTTTTAAATTTTTCATCCTATCACCAGAAGTACCTTACCTTTGGTTCTTTAAATTCAAGATCTTCTCCATACTGAATGGTAAAGTCTATGTGCTGCAAAACTATGTTTATGCTTTCCTCATCAGAGCGATCAAAAGGTAGAAATCGAACCATACCATAGTCATCAATCTAGAGAAGGGATTCAAAGGACATTAGTAAGAAAATGCAGTAAGGTAGTTCTCAATCACTCTAAGCTACTTCCTTAAAACAAACTTGTGTACTCCTTGTCTGGACTGCTAAAATGCCATTTAAAGCCACTCTGCAAACCAATGGCAGTTCCTCACATGGAACACCTGGCTATCAGTCTGAGGTTCTACACAGTAGAAAAAGCCATTTTCCAAAACTGCTAATAGAAGAGGATTCACAGAAAATGTATTAGCTACAATCCAAATGTTAATACACCTAAAATGCCCAAGTGCCTGAGAATCTTTTGCATTCTGGCTTTATAAGTTTGGCAGGTAAATACAGTTTTGGGCTGAGGGGGGGAGAATTATTATAGTACATACAGTACCTGTAACAGCAATAAAGCCAGCAACCATACGGTACAGTTTATAAATACAGGACTGAATTTAAGGGTACCAGTTAAAAAGCAATATACCTACCAATCCACATATAGATTTAGTCAGTTTTTTAAACATTTTGCTTTTCAATATGTTTGTAGAATCTTCAATCATAGAATACATATCTGGATCCAAGTACCTGGGATAAATAAAATAATCATCATCACCAAAAAAGTCCTTGGCCACAGAGCAAATGAGTCATTGTGCTTTTATATAGCTACCGAACCCATCTATCATTCTGTGGTCTGAATGAACTAACTTCCTATCAGGAGAACTTAAAATGTTTAAAAATAGTTTCTGTATTTGAATATCTCAGATTACGATGCTAGTAGAAACAACTGAAGTGTTTTTTCTTTTCTTTTTGCTAATACACTCGTATACTGAAGAAAGCTTTGAGGAAGACCACAGGGAAAAACTTTTAATCTAGCACAAATGTAAAAATAACACGTAAGTAATTCAGTATGTTCAGTATCAAAAAAGTGATAGAATCACCTCTGGTTTAGTACACTACCCTAGAATGTCATTCAGAATGACTTAAGTTATCCAAAATAATTATTTACAGAAAAATCCAGAGGTACGTACAAAGATGGAGCTAGCCTTTTGACTCCAACTAAATTGTGAGCATCCTATCCAGACAAGACTATGTTCAATATAAACCAACTGCATCTTCTCCCATTTGAAAAGAATATGTTTTAATTGTGGGAATTAATTTTGAGTGAAGTGTACTGCAAGATATTACATTGCAGAGTAACTAATATTTCGGAACTTACTTTTCTATCTCCTTCTTGGCTTTCTTGCTCAGCAAATCCATTTTGGTCATAATGTTAATCTGTGGAATCTCTAAAGATATCATTGCACTGAGTGCAGCCAGAATTCCAGAGATAAACTTAAGGAATATGAAAAATAACATAGTTAAGTACAGGAAAACACAACACCAACATACAGGACACTCAAGCACAACCCAAATCTATCTAATGAATATATGAAACAAAGCCATATGAGGAGTCATTCTGTCTGTCTGAAAAGGAAGGTACTGAATATCCCATCTCCCATCTACTTCCAGAGCCTCAAATCTGGATCTGCCACTGAAAAGGGCATTAAGAAAATCCAAAGCCCTTCTCAGGATTCTTACTCCTAGATAGGGAAAGCAGCCTGCTCTCTCTCCAGATCTGAGAAAGCTCTCATAGTGTCACTGAATAATTTAGGCTGGAAGGGTCTTTTAGAGGTTATCTGTTCCATACCACTGCTCAAAAGTCGTATCAGGTTGCTCAGGGGTTTTGCCCAGTCAAGTTTTGAGTAACTTAATGAACAGACACTACACAATCTCTGTGTCCCTTTTCCAGTCTGACCATTCTTGCAGTGCAGGATTTTCTTCTTTACATCCAACTGGAATTTGCTGCAATCTGTGTCTTGAGGCAGCTGAAGACAGCAATTGGATCTCCTCCAGCTTAGCATTCTTTCCTCTGGGCTAAACAAACCCAGCTGCCTAAATTGCTCAGATTTCTTTATCAATATGAACTTTTACCACAGATTTCAAACGGATACCTTGAAAGATTCCACCATAAACTGAGAATCCACAAGAAAAACTCCACAGACGCGGAATTCCCACTGCTGAAGCTGCTCCACCAGCTGTTTCATCACTGGCAGATGTGTGTACAGTTCGATCTGACCTACGACACACTTAGGATATTAGTATGCAGAAATGTGAAGCTAACAGGAACAGTTAGCAGTTACATAAATACAGGTATTGCACTTAATGTGAATGAAAGCTGATAAAGTATCTTTTCAGACAACTCTGTCTTTGGATGAACTTATACTGGTGAAGAAAAGAAATAGAAGGGTTTTTTCCTCCCTTGGCCTCCAATTAGCATTAGTTAGCAGTTGCCATAGCATTCCCACACCATATGATGCTATTAGAAGTCAATGCAGGCATCTAAATTATCCTGGGACCAAGTTCAACTTCTCAAACATCTGGAAGTGACTCTGACAACTGTTGATAATGCAAAAAAATGTGAATGATGATCAACAACAACAACAAAAAAGCACCGTGAATTTTATATTGTGTATGGAGAACAATAACAAAACATAGACATTTGTTTACCTGGGCAATCAAACAATATATAGTCATCTTCCACATGCCCAAGGCTTTCCTCTAGCCAGTTAAAGTTATTGGCAAAGTATTCCATGCAAAACACCAAGCCGCCATTGGGGCCAAACCTTAAGGATTCATCTTCCATGACGTCGTCCACTTCTATTAACTCTCGGATGTCTGGAACAACAGACACACGAGGCGGTGTGAGTTCTTTTCCTTACAGCCGGTGCCCGAAGGTTGCTGCCCGCAGCCTCCCGCCGCTCACCTGCCATGACGGGGTAGCTGAAGAGCTCCGCCGCCGGGTCCAGGTTGACCACCTGCACGGCGCGGCCCAGCGCCTCGCAGTGCTGCACCATGGTGGAGCAGTACGTGCTCTGCAAGGCACACACGCAGCGTCAGGGACACGTTACCGCCGCTGTCACCTCCCCGCTGCCGCCCGCCTGCCCGCCCGCCTCACCT